ATTTTTGGCGGGTATTACGGTATGGACTCTGTCACGGGAGTGTGGAGTGGCGATGTGAGCGCCATCTATGAGTCTGCACTCCAACTCCCCGGTATTGGGTGCTATGCAGACAACGCCATCTGTTGGTGGTTGCAGGCGTGGTATCGGTGAAAGGCTCCGGTTTCCTGCCTCAGTTAGAAGAGGAGTTAGATGATGTTGACCTCTGGTGGGTGGCGTATCGAGATCAACGCCATCTAGATTGTGGCTACAATTTACAATGTCAATTCCCCGGTGTTATCCTAGGGTCACCCAGTGTACTGTCTGTCTAGTTAATGACGTTTTATGTTCACAGAGGTGACGTAAGCAGGCGATTGTACTGAGGAAGGCAGTTCGCCTTGGGCAGTCCAAGAACTTTTGACTGGATTCTGTGAGAGGATAAAGTGGCCACCATCGGATATAGCAGTGTGTTAGCTGTTGGTTTATGCGACGTTGGATGGGCCGACGTACCTGGGATTGGCCAGGAAGAGTTACGCGACGACAGTGGTGCGTCTGTTGAGAAGTGCTGCTAGCGAGCGGCTAGAGTCTGCCAGGGTGCTACCTGCCCTTAAATGTGATTGTATGAGACCCTTGTCAGCATGTTGCTGAAACCCCTCTGCCAGTGTATTTACCTAGTTGTGTTCACCAAGTCGTGTTGTGTGTGTTTAGGAGGCCTGGTCGACGACCGGGCCGCGGGGACGCTAAGCCCCGGAAGCACCTCAAGGTAACCACCTAGTTGTGTTTGCGGGGGTTGAGCTTTACTCTTTCGGCCCGCCTCTCAACTGTCAATCAACTGTTTACTAACTACTTTTTTTTCATACCACCCACACACACACACACCTCAGGAAGCAGCCCGTGACAGCTGACTAACTCCCAGGTACCTGTTTACTGCTAGGTAACAGGGGCATTCAGGGTGAAAGAAACTTTGCCCATTTGTTTCCGCCTCGTGCGGGAATCGGACCCGCGCCACAGAATTGAGTCCTGCGCGCTATCCACCAGGCTACGAGACCCCGAGTGTGCATCTGGAGAGTGGAGGAGGGGTACTGGCACATCGTTATGGTATGGTATGTACTCGCCTATTTGTGCTTGCGGGGGTTGAGCTTTGGCTCTTTGGTCCCGCCTCTCAACCGGTGAACAGATTCCTGAGGCTACTAGGCTCTGTAACTGTGTGTGGACTGACCCATGTTGCAGAAGGTGAAGTGGCCGGTGTTTGCCATTACGTGTGGACGACGTGTACCTAGAAAGTGGCTTCACCGGGATTGATGAACACCGCCGATGTCTTGTGTCCTGAGTGAAAGTGACACTTTGTAAATACATGTAGTAATACTACAATATAATATATATAGTGGTGAAGGTGTAATAGTGTATTGTTTATCCCCCCTGTGTTTTCTTTGCATTACTACTTACCACAGCCAGTTCTTGAAAGCTTACCACCGACTTGGGGGTTGGATATAGAAGAAGAGGTTTTAACAGCAAGGACCCGGTTACTGGCCCAACGTGGCCATAACAGGGGCGTAGACTTAATTATGTTAAATCCACCTTCTAAATTAATTTTACTTGAATAATTTCAATGGTAAATTATTGTTATGGAGTTAGTAAACTATCTACAATATCATAGGTAAAATTTCATAAGGCTTAGGTGTCGCGCTGATCATTAGAAGTGCGTCTGACAGTCTCCTGAAACCAGTCCATTCCTAAGCGTCAAGGTGGTGGCGGCGTCGTAGACTCGTGATGCACAAGTTGAGGCGACAAGCTTCCGTTGGTATCCCTCCACTCTGTGGAGAATATACAATGTAACTTCTATAAAGTTAGAGTAATTTCACTTAATCCCCATGAATGGAATTAACTATTTAAAGGGAATTAAATTTACTCAGGTTATTTTGGTTGTCCTGCGTCGTAACTGCCGGGCACTCTAAAAGGTTAATATGGCCGTAAAACCTATAGAAAGTCAATTTACAGACCGGATGCAACGTCCCTTTGTTGGATGAAGCAAGCAGCAACATCTGGGAGTCGTAAGTACACGGATGATCCCAAATTAACGCGATGCTAATTTGCCGGCTTCACGGGGATGATGTGGCTGAGTCTCTGAGAGCAAGTGCCGCGCGCCCTCTACCTCCTTTCTCGGGGAAATCAGTCACGGTATTCTACCTTGTCTTATTATCTAACAAGACATTACCGACGTCGTTTTAAGTCTTAATAATACACTTCAGATATCAGCGGACAATTTTCCACTGTTTATTTTACTGGACCGAAGTGTTAGTTTGAAACACAAATACGTAAATGGCATACATGACGTGGCTATATACTAACCGGGGATCAGCTGATCGCGACTGTGCAAATTTCCTCCTTGAGATGGAGGTATAATTTGTTTTAAATAAATTAAGTCAATTTTCAATCCAATTTATCGTGCAAATTAAGCAGAGGTTAGTATGGGTTTAATTACATTTAAATAAAGAGTTCTCCACCCCGCGAGGCGGAGAGGCTGACGTAACAGCCGCCATAGATAGTAGGAAGGTCGTGGCGTCCCTTCACTATGAGTTAGTAAAATTAACTCATAGCGTAGTAGATTTAATTTCCTAACACAATATTTATATCTAATTGTGCTAGGGGTTAGTATTCGGGGTGTCGGAAATTTCCGACACTTTGTTTTTTTGGTTTCTATATTCTGTTGTACTTTGATGGTGACAATCATCATCTGATTATTATGCTTCCACGCTGATGGTGAGTGTCAACATTACAATCATGTCTTACATCAGGTATTGTTGTCTGACGGTAAATATGTCGGACAACCATGGCAGATACATTATAATTGTTGTTTGTCAGTTACAAAATAAGGTCGAGTGTCCTGAACAGGAGAGGACGGAGTGTTGGTTGGTGAGGACGGAGGCACTCAGCCGTCCAGGATAGGCAATGGATGGGAAGGGGTCAAGATAAGAATTTGGGATCGGACGGTGGGAAGGAATGGTGCCCAACCACCTGTGGACGGTCCGGGATTGAACGCCGGCCTGCATGAGGCGAGACCGTCGCTCTACCGTCCAGCTCAAGTGGTTGGGCGCCATGATAGTAAAGTGTTCCGTGTTTTCTTCCCTTTGTAGACAGCTTCAAGGGAGTGACTAGAGACATGTGCAGGCAGCCTACAGAGTACTCGCATATGGCCTTCACCTTAATATCTCCAGAGACTTCAATTTAAAAACTGTTTTCAAATTTATAAAAACACTTTCAGTTAGTTATGGACGATTGCAAAATAAAAAATTACAATGTTTAGCGAAAAACATGAAATTTCACTTTAATTTTTTTCACGGCCTCACTCTCTCACTCCCTCACTATGATTCCTTCACTGTATTTTCCGCAACATTAAGTGTTGGCACCCGGCGGTGCCCGGGTAGTGTGGATGGTTACTGTGATGGTGATGTGTAGTGTGGAGGGGCACTAGTGTATCATCATCCAAGGGTCACCCCTCACTGTCACCCGTCACTCCAGTGGGTGTCACCCGTCACTAGTGGGTGACGGCTGGCGGTAACCGGCCAAGCTGGCCATATCCGGCTGGTGCTCAGGAAATACTACACGTGTGGTGGGGACGGACGGACCCTGGACACGCTGCCTAATACCTTGCATTAGGAGGTGACTTGTTGATCCATCCAAGACCCGTGATTTACTCACCCGCCTTGTTCCTGGTGAGTCCAGGGGGACCCATACTCACCCGCCTTGTTCCTGGTGAGTCCTGGGGGACCCATACTCACCCGCCTTGTTCCTGGTGAGTCCTGGGGGACCCATACTCACCCGCCTTGTTCCTGGTGAGTCCAGGGGGACCCATACTGACCCGCCTTGTTCCTGGTGAGTCCTGGGAGACCCATACTCACCCGCCTTGTTCCTGGTGAGTCCTGGGGGACCCATACTGACCCGCCTTGTTCCTGGTGAGTCCAGGGGGACCCATACTCACCCGCCTTGTTCCTGGTGAGTCCTGGGGGACCCATACTCACCCGCCTTGTTCCTGGTGAGTCCTGGGGGACCCATACTCACCCGCCTTGTTCCTGGTGAGTCCTGGGGGACCCATACTCACCCGCCTTGTTCCTGGTGAGTCCTGGGGGACCCATACTCACCCGCCTTGTTCCTGGTGAGTCCTGGGGGACCCATACTCACCCGCCTTCTTCCTGGTGAGTCCTGGGGGACCCATACTCACCCGCCTTCTTCCTGGTGAGTCCTGGGGGACCCATACTCACCCGCCTTGTTCCTTAGTGAGTCCAGGGGGACCCATACTCACCCGCCTTCTTCCTGGTGAGTCCTGGGGGACCCATACTCACTCGCCTTGTTCCTGGTGAGTCCTGGGAGACCCATACTCACCCGCCTTGTTTCTGGCGAGTCCTGGGGGACCCATACTCACCCGCCTTCTTCTTGGTGAGTCCAGGGGGACCCATACTCACCCGCTTCCTTCTTGGTGAGTCCTGGGGGACCCATACTCATCCGCCTTGTACCTGGTGAGTCCTGGGGGACCCATACTCACCCGCCTTCTTCCTGGTGAGTCCTGGGGGACCCATACTCACCCGCCTTGTTCCGGGTGAGTCCAGGGGGACCCATACTCACCCGCCTTCTTCTTGGTGAGTCCTGGGGGACCCATACTCACCCGCCTTGTACCTGGTGAGTCCTGGGGGACCCATACTCACCTGCCTTGTTCCTGGTGAGTCGTGGGGGACCCATACTCACCTATCGTGTTCCTGGTGAGTCCTGGAGGACCCATACTCACCTGCCTTGTTCCTGGTGAGTCCTGGGGGACCCATACTTGCCCGCCTTTTTCCTGGTGAGTCGTGGGGGACCCATACTCACCCGCCTTGTTCCTGGTGAGTCGTGGGGGACCCATACTCACCCGCCTTGTTCCTGGTGAGTCGTGGGGGACCCATACTTACCTACCTTGTTCCTGGTGAGTCCTGGGGGACCCATACTCACCTACCTTGTTCCTGGTGAGTCCTGGGGGACCCATACTCACCTACCTTGTTCCTGGTCTTCTTTTGTGTTCTCGCTCGTGAATACCACCTTTGTCAGTCGGTGACTGTCCCTGTTGTACTGTCCGAGCCTGAAGACCTTTTCAGTGTTCTGGTCCGCTCTCTCCATCTTTACCACTTTAAGGATCTTTTTAACTGCATTTTTGTCCTTGTCTCTCCATTCCACTGGACTGGTCCCTGTTTGATCCTTAATTCCTACTACGACTACTGCTGTTTTTCGCTCCATCATCCGGCTAGTACATCTAGCTGCTTCCTGAGAAGAAGCCACTTTTATGACAACTTCCCTTACTGCAGTAATAGCTGTAGTTAGTGTAAGCTCAGCTTGTTATAACATCAGAGGTGTGTGTGTGTGTATTCACCTAATTGTATTCACCGAGTTGTGCTTGCGGGGGTTGAACTTTGCTCTTTCGGCCCGCCTCCCAACCGTCAATCAACTGTTTACCAACTACTTTTTTTCCCTACACCACACACACACACACACACCCAGGAAGCAGCGCGTGACAGCTGATTGACTCCCAGGTACCTATTTACTGCTAGGTAACAGGGGCATTCAGGGTGAAAGAAACTTTGCCATTTGTTTCTGCCTGGTGCAGGAATCGAACCCGCGCCACAGAATTAAGAGTCCTGCGCGCTATCCACCAGGCTACCAGGCCCCCCCCCCCCTGGGTGTGTGTGGGTGAGTGTGTGTATAACCTTGTCATGCCAGCAGAGGTATGCCATGTATAACCTTGTCATGCCAGCAGAGGTATGCCATTGATCAAGAAAGTGGCGAAACATTCCATAATAAACCCACTCATACACGGCAAATTTATCTCTCCTGATGAGAGACTGGTCGGTAGGAGCACGGTGTTGCACAGTGTTGCACAGTGTTGCACAGTGTTGCACAGTGTTGCACAGTGTTGCACAGTGTTGTACAGTGTTGTACAGTGTTGTACAGTGTTGTACGGTGCTGCACGGTGTTGCAGGCTGCAACAAGTAAACTGTACCATGATCATGGGAGCAAGTGGTCCCATGAGTGCTGGACACCTGGACCAACCCACAGGTAACACAACTCATTAACAAGTGTACAGAAAAATAACTGTTACTTCCTGCCCGTCTCGGGAGGGCCATAATAACATACACATCACAGTGTGTAGTGTTCACTGTAGTGGGCAAGTGGTGGAGAAGAGGAAAGATAAGAATAAGGCAAGGAGTAAGAATAAGAGACGTGGGCAGAGCTTACGACAGGTCAGGTGTGTTAAGAAGGTTGGAGCAGGTAAGCATGTACTGTGAGAGGCAAGGTTCAACAGCTATAGAAAGGACATTGGTCTGTACGTTCACTTCTTGTCCTACCGTCCTCCTCCTGTTGAGACACGTGTCCTCGTCTCTCTCCCTCCGCGTTCCTCTCATCACCGACCCTCAGTCTCTTGAGTCTGAAATTTATTTCAGAATAATATTTCTTGTCTCTCGCCTAATTTTCTCTACTGCAAGAATCCACTCGGTAAAAGATCTAAACTATTGGGTCAGACTAAAGAGCCTAAATCTGTATTGTCTTGAGCGCAGGCGGGAGAGATACAAAATAATTTACACCTCCAAATGATACCTGATCAACTAGTCTGTGACTCATACGTCAGGCTGCGAGCAGCCGCGTTCAATAGCGTGGTTGACCAGTCCAGCAACCAGGAGGCCTGGTCGACGACCGGGCCGCGGGGACGCTAAGCCCCGGTAACACCTCAAGGTAACCTCAAGGTTGGTCACCCCTTATATGTTATCTACTGTGCCTATTATTAAGCTAAACGTAATTTATTTCATTCCAAACCTGTTCCGAGCACTAGCACCACTCTGCTCTGCCCTTCATATCTGAACTCAAAACTTTTACTAATACCTTTCGTCCTCTTGACATAAAGCTCGCCTTTCAACACTCTAACACACTTGTTAGTGTGTTGAAAGAGTGAAGAAGTGAAGAAACATACGAAAATTCACTTTCGCAAACAGAGTGGTAGACGGTTGGAACAAGTTAGGTGAGAAGGTGGTGGAGGCCAAGACCGTCAGTAGCTTCAAAGCGTTATATGACAAAGAGTGCTGGGAAGACGGGACACCACGAGCGTAGCTCTCATCCTGTAACTACACTTAGGTAATTACACTTGGGTAATTACTTCGTAGCAATATGGTTCACACTGCTGCTGCTGCTGCTCATGCTGCTGGTGTCTACTCTCTTGCCTGTTCGTCTCGTCCTCTCCACTACTATGGTGAAACTGGCCGTACACTTAACACTTAATGACACACTTAAAGAACACAAAATAAGTGTAAAGTCTACAGACACACACACTGCCTCTCTTCTGTCATGTTAGGAAGAAACCATGACCATCTATTGATTGGTCTTGTTCTAAAATAATCTTTCCTGTCTCTGTCATAAAGTGTGGCGAAGTGCAGTGTCTCGTTATCACTCACTCATTATCTCACCATAATGTTATCAGTGAGTGATAACACTTACCCGTGGCCGCCTCCACCACCCGGGTGCGGGTCAGGGAGGCCGCTCTACGTCACCTGAGAGGTGGTCAACCCGCCCTCCCAGTACACCGCCGCATTTTGACCAATATTCTCTTTCTTCGGCCAAAAATCGTCATTCTAGAAAACTGGAAGCGGCTCGCGAAATTGACTCTTCCCGATTTCTGTTTTGGGTCAACTGGTAGGTTAGGATAAGGCCACGTGTCCGTCCACATCTACCACGTGTCCGGCCACATCTACTACGTGTTCGTCCACATCTACCAGGTGTTCGTCCACATCTACCACGTGTTCGTCCACATCTACCACGTGTTCGTCCACATCTACCACGTGTTCGTCCACATCTGCCACGTGTTCGTCCACATCTACCACGTGTTCCTCTACATCTGCCACGTGTCCGTCCACATCTGCCACGTGTCCGTCCACATCTACCACGTGTTCCTCTACATCTGCCACGTGTTCGTCCACATCTACCACGTGTTCGTCCACATCTGCCACGTGTTCGTCCACATCTACCACGTGTTCCTCTACATCTGCCACGTGTCCGTCCACATCTGCCACGTGTCCGTCCACATCTACCACGTGTTCCTCTACATCTGCCACGTGTTCGTCCACATCTACCACGTGTCCGTCCACATCTACCACGTGTCCGTCCACATCTACCACGTGTTCGTCCACATCTACCACGTGTTCGTCCACATCTACCACGTGTTCGTCCACATCTACCACGTGTTCGTCCACATCTACCACGTGTCCGTCCACATCTACCACCGTCGCGTTTCTCCAGTAATAAGTCTCACCTCCACATACACATTTCCTTACTCCACATACATGTTGCTATACATAATACATATATACATTGCTATACATGACACGTGCAGGACCCCGGTATATTGGCATACTCCGCATACCTCGAACCAGGGACTCGGAAGGCACTCATTATGGGTCATTGTACAACGTAGTGTCCAGGAGAATGTGTAATATATATATATATATATATATATATATATATATATATATATATATATATATATATATAAATTATTTTTCCACACAGGTAACTTTTAGGGTAGTTGGGAGTCGGGGGCTCGAACCAGTGCAACCCGTTCTCGCGCTTTCTTACAGTCAATATTGACTTATTAAATACGTTCATATGTGACACACTAAACATACTAGTTTACCTTGAAAAGCTTCATAGAAAACACCGACCTTACCTAACCTTCTTAGTATGTTAAGATAAGCATCTTATTGCTTCGTAATTACAATTATTACTTAACCTATACCTATAATAGGTTAAGTAATAATTGTAATTACGAAGCAATAAGATGCTTATCTTAACATACTAAGAAGGTTAGGTGAAGCTTTTCAAGGTAAACTAGTATGTTTAGTGTGTCACATATGAACGTATTTAATAAGTCAATATTGACTATACGAAATTGCGAGAACGGGTTGACCAGTGGCCAGATTAGTGCCCCTCTCAGACCTCTCCTTCCACCCCGTCCTACTAAGGTGCCCCAAGGTCAAGAAACTCTCGTACTAGAGTGCCTTTATCCTAACCAACCAGAGGACCCAAAACAGAAAACGGGACAGATTGTCAATTTCGCGAGCCGCTTCCAATTTTCTAGTACGGCGATTTTTGGCAGTTGGTGAAATCTTCGTCAAAATGCCACGTTCTACAATTAGGAGGGTTCGACCCCCCTCGACACTCACCATACCTTTGTGAGGTCTGCCTTATATAGCTGTCTCTTCATGGTATTCATCATGATGATTAGGGCAACAGTTGTTAGGTCATTAGTATGATTTAAATCAGCTATTAATTTCATTTTACTTTTTATCACTACTAATGATATATCTATATCATATTTTCTCATTAATTTATTCCGGGACCGACTATGCCACTAGGCTAGTCCCAGAACTAAGAGGCATGAGTTACGAGGGAAGGCTGCGGGAAATGCACCTCATGACACTGGAAGACAGAAAAGTAAGGGGAGACATGATCACTCCCTACAAAATTCTCACAGGAATTGACAGGGTAGATAAGGATAAACTGTTTAACACTGGTGGTACGCCAACAAGGGGACACAGGTGGAAACTGAGCACCCAAATGACCCACAGGGACGTTAGAAAGAACATTTTCAGACAGCAGGGGTGGTGGTGGGTGACAGTAGGGGTGGTGGGAGACGGCAGGGAGGGTGGTGGTGGGTGACGGCAGGGAGGGTGGTGGTGGGGGACGGCAGGGAGGGTGGTGGTGGGTGACGGCAGGGAGGGTGGTGGTGGGAGACGGCAGGGGTGGTGGTGGGAGACGGCAGGGTGGGTGGTGGTGGGAGACGGCAGGGAGGGTGGTGGTGGGAGACGGCAGGGGTGGTGGTGGGAGACGGCAGGGAGGGTGGTGGTGGGTGACAGCAGGGGTGTTGGTGGTGGGAGACGGCAGGGAGGGTGGTGGTGGGAGACGGCAGGGGTGGTGGTGGTGGGAGACGGCAGGGAGGGTGGTGGTGGGAGACGGCAGGGGTGGTGGTGGTGGTGGGAGACGGCAGGGGTGGTGGTGGTGGGAGACGGCAGGGGTGGTGGTGGTGGGAGACGGCAGGGGTGGTGGTGGTGGGAGACGGCTGGGGTGGTGGTGGTGGGAGACGGCAGGGGTGGTGGTGGTGGGAGACGGCAGGGAGGGTGGTGGTGGGAGACGGCAGGGAGGGTGGTGGTGGGAGACGGCAGGGGTGGTGGTGGGAGACGGCAGGGGTGGTGGTGGGAGACGGCAGGGGTGGTGGCGGGAGACAGCAGGGGTGGTGGGAGACGGCAGGGAGGGTGGTGGTGGGAGACGGCAGGGTGGGTGGTGGTGCTGGGAGACGGCAGGGTGGGTGGTGGTGCTGGGAGACGGCAGGGTGGGTGGTGGTGGTGGGAGACGGCAGGGAGGGTGGTGGTGGGAGACGGCAGGGAGGGTGGTGGTGGGAGACGGCAGGGAGGGTGGTGGTGGGAGACAGCAGGGGGGGTGGTGGTGGGAGACGGCAGGGAGGGTGGTGGTGGGAGACAGCAGGGGTGGTGGGAGACGGCAGGGAGGGTGGTGGTGGGAGACGGCAGGGAGGGTGGTGGTGGGAGACAGCAGGGGGGGTGGTGGTGGGAGACGGCAGGGAGGGTGGTGGTGGGAGACAGCAGGGGTGGTGGTGGGAGACGGCAGGGGTGGTGGTGGGAGACGGCAGGGGTGGTGGTGGGAGACGGCAGGGGTGGTGGTGGTGGGAGACGGCAGGGGTGGTGGTGGTGGGAGACGGCAGGGTGGGTGGTGGGGGGAGACGGCAGGGAGGGTGGTGGGGGGAGACGGCAGGGAGGGTGGTGGTGGGAGACGGCAGGGTGGGTGGTGGGAGACGGCAGGGAGGGTGGTGGCGGGAGACGGCAGGGGTGGTGGCGGGAGACAGCAGGGGTGGTGGGAGACGGCAGGGTGGGTGGTGGTGGTGGGAGACGGCAGGGTGGGTGGTGGTGGTGGGAGACGGCAGGGAGGGTGGTGGTGGGAGACAGCAGGGGGGTGGTGGTGGGAGACGGCAGGGAGGGTGGTGGTGGGAGACAGCAGGGGTGGTGGGAGACGGCAGGGAGGGTGGTGGTGGGAGACGGCAGGGAGGGTGGTGGTGGGAGACAGCAGGGGGGGTGGTGGTGGGAGACGGCAGGGAGGGTGGTGGTGGGAGACAGCAGGGGTGGTGGTGGGAGACGGCAGGGGTGGTGGTGGGAGACGGCAGGGAGGGTGGTGGTGGGAGACAGCAGGGGGGGTGGTGGTGGGAGACGGCAGGGAGGGTGGTGGTGGGAGACAGCAGGGGGGGTGGTGGTGGGATACGGCAGGGAGGGTGGTGGTGGGAGACAGCAGGGGTGGTGGGAGACAGCAGGGGTGGTGGTGGGAGACAGTAGGGGTTGTGGGAGACGGCAGGGTGGGTGATGGGAGACGGCATTGAGGGTGGTGGTGGGAGACGGCAGGGGTGGTGGTGGTGGGAGACGGCAGGGGTGGTGGTGGTGGGAGACGGCAGGGGTGGTGGTGGTGGGAGACGGCAGGGTGGGTGGTGGTGGGAGACGGCAGGGTGGGTGGTGGTGGGAGACGGCAGGGTGGGTGGTGGTGGGAGACGGCAGGGTGGGTGGTGGTGGGAGACGGCAGGGGTGGTGGTGGTGGGAGACGGCAGGGGTGGTGGTGGTGGGAGACGGCAGAGGTGGTGGTGGTGGGAGACGGCAGGGGTGGTGGTGGTGGGAGACGGCAGGGGTGGTGGTGGTGGGAGACGGCAGGGTGGGTGGTGGGGGGAGACGGCAGGGAGGGTGGTGGGGGGAGACGGCAGGGAGGGTGGTGGTGGGAGACGGCAGGGAGGGTGGGTGGTGGGAGACGGCAGGGAGGGTGGTGGTGGGAGACGGCAGGGAGGGTGGTGGTGGGAGACGGCAGGGAGGGTGGTGGTGGGAGACGGCAGGGAGGGTGGTGGTGGGAGACGGCAGGGAGGGTGGTGGTGGGAGACGGCAGGGAGGGTGGTGGTGGGAGACGGCAGGGAGGGTGGTGGTGGGAGACGGCAGGGAGGGTGGTGGTGGGAGACGGCAGGGAGGGTGGTGGTGGGAGACGGCAGGGGGGGTGGTGGTGGGAGACGGCAGGGAGGGTGGTGGTGGGAGACAGCAGGGGTGGTGGGAGACAGCAGGGGTGGTGGTGGGAGACAGTAGGGGTTGTGGGAGACGGCAGGGTGGGTGATGGGAGACGGCATTGAGGGTGGTGGTGGGAGACGGCAGGGGTGGTGGTGGTGGGAGACGGCAGGGGTGGTGGTGGTGGGAGACGGCAGGGGTGGTGGTGGTGGGAGACGGCAGGGGTGGTGGTGGTGGGAGACGGCAGGGTGGGTGGTGGTGGGAGACGGCAGGGTGGGTGGTGGTGGGAGACGGCAGGGTGGGTGGTGGTGGGAGACGGCAGGGTGGGTGGTGGTGGTAGACGGCAGGGTGGGTGGTGGTGGGAGACGGCAGGGGTGGTGGTGGTGGGAGACGGCAGGGGTGGTGGTGGTGGGAGACGGCAGGGGTGGTGGTGGTGGGAGACGGCAGGGGTGGTGGTGGTGGGAGACGGCAGGGTGGGTGGTGGGGGGAGACGGCAGGGAGGGTGGTGGGGGGAGACGGCAGGGAGGGTGGTGGTGGGAGACGGCAGGGTGGGTGGTGGGAGACGGCAGGGAGGGTGGTGGTGGGAGACGGCAGGGAGGGTGGTGGTGGGAGACGGCAGGGAGGGTGGTGGTGGGAGACGGCAGGGAGGGTGGTGGTGGGAGACGGCAGGGAGGGTGGTGGTGGGAGACGGCAGGGTAGGTGGTGGTGGGAGACGGCGGCGGTAGGGAGGGTGGGGTGGGAGACGGCAGGGAGGGTGGTGGTGGGAGACGGCAGGGTGGGTGGTGGGAGACGGTAGGGAGGGTGGTGGTGGGAGACGGCAGGGAGGGTGGTGGTGGGAGACGGCAGGGTGGGTGGTGGTGGGAGACGGTGGGAGACGGCAGGGGTGGTGGTGGTGGGAGACGGCAGGGAGGGTGGTGGTGGGAGACGGCAGGGTGGGTGGTGGTGGGAGACGGTAGGGAGGGTGGTGGTGGGAGACGGCAGGGGTGGTGGTGGTGGGAGACGGCAGGGTGGGTGGTGGGAGACGGTAGGGAGGGTGGTGGGGGGAGACGGCAGGGAGGGTGGTGGGGGGAGACGGCAGGGTAGGTGGTGGGGGGAGACGGCAGGGTAGGTGGTGGTGGGAGACGGCAGGGTGGGTGGTGGGAGACGGTAGGGAGGGTGGTGGTGGGAGACGGCAGGGAGGGTGGTGGTGGGAGACGGCAGGGTGGGTGGTGGGAGACGGTAGGGAGGGTGGTGGTGGGAGACGGCAGGGAGGGTGGTGGTGGGAGACGGCAGGGTGGGTGGTGGTGGGAGACGGTAGGGAGGGTGGTGGTGGGAGACGGCAGGGGTGGTGGTGGTGGGAGACGGCAGGGGTGGTGGTGGTGGGAGACGGCAGGGTGGGTGGTGGGAGACGGCAGGGAGGGTGGTGGGGGGAGACGGCAGGGTGGGTGGTGGGAGACGGTAGGGAGGGTGGTGGTGGGAGACGGCAGGGAGGGTGGTGGTGGGAGACGGCAGGGAGGGTGGTGGTGGGAGACGGCAGGGAGGGTGGTGGTGGGAGACGGCAGGGTAGGTGGTGGTGGGAGACGGTAGGGAGGGTGGTGGTGGGAGACGGCAGGGAGGGTGGTGGGGGGAGACGGCAGGGAGGGTGGTGGTGGGAGACGGCAGGGTGGGTGGTGGGAGACGGTAGGGAGGGTGGTGGTGGGAGACGGCAGGGAGGGTGGTGGTGGGAGACGGCAGGGTGGGTGGTGGTGGGAGACGGTAGGGAGGGTGGTGGTGGGAGACGGCAGGGGTGGTGGTGGTGGGAGACGGCAGGGGTGGTGGTGGTGGGAGACGGCAGGGTGGGTGGTGGGAGACGGTAGGGAGGGTGGGAGACACACACACACACGCACCCCACCCCCCCCCCCCCCCCCCCCCCCCCCCCCCCTCTGTCTCTCCAGCCATTCCACATAACTGTTATTTTCTCCGTTATTTCCTTAAGTATTTCTTTCCCTCCCACCTCTCCCTTTTCACCTCTCCACTGTACCGTCACCCTCCCCCCCCCTCCCACGTGTGTGATTGGGTCATCTGGCAGGAATTTAAATCACTGTTACAACTGATGCAGTTTATGAATGGCTTGTGTGTTAATGAATGGCCGGGAGGATGAATGTGTTCTTTGTGTGTGTGTGTGTGTTTGTGTGTGTGTGTGTGTGTGTGGTGTGTGTTGTGTGTGTTGTGTGTGTGTGGTGTGTGGTGTGTGTGTGTGTACTCACCTATTTGTGCTTACGGGGGTTGAGCTCTGGCTCTTTGGTCCCGCCTCTCAACTGTCCATCAACAGGTGTACAGATTCCTGAGCCTATTGGGCTCTATCATATCTACACTTGAAACTGTGTATGGAGTCAGCCTCCACCACATCACTGCCTAATGCATTTCATTTGTCAACCACTCTGACACTAAAAAAATTCTTTCTAATATCTCTGTGGCTCATTTGGGCACTCGGTTTCCACCTGTGTCCCCTTGTGCGTGTGCCCCTTGTGTTAAATAGACTGTCTTTATCTACCCTATCAATTCCTCTGAGAATCTTGTACGTGGTGATCATGTCCCCTCTAATTCCTGTCTTCTAGCGACGTGAGGTTTAATTCCCGTAGTCTCTCCTCGTAGCTCATACCTCTCAGTCCGGGTACTAGTCTGGTGGCAAACCTTTGAACCTTTTCCAGTTTAGTCTTATGCTTGACTAGATATGGACTCCATGCTGGGGCTGCATACTCCAGGATTGGTCTGACATGTGTGGTATACAAAGCTCTGAATGATTCCTTACAAAAGTGTCTAAATGCCGTTCTTATGTTAACCAACCTGGCATATGCCGCTGATGTTATCCTCTTGATATGTGCTGCAGGGGACAGGTCTGGCGTGATATCAACCCCAAAGTCTTTTTCTCTCTCTGACTCTTGAAGAATTTCATCTCCCAAATGCTACCTTGTATATGGCCTCCTGCTCCCTATGCCTATCTTCATTACATTACATTTGCTTGGGTTAAACTCTAACAACCATTTGTTCGTCCATTCCTGCAGCTTGTCCAGGTCTTCTTGAAGCCTCAAGCTGTCCTCCTCTGTCTTAATCCTTTTCATAATTTTGGCATCGTCAGCAAACATTGAGAGGAATGAGTCTATACCCTCTGGGAGATCATTTACATATATCAGAAACAGGATAGGTCCAAGCACAGAGCCCTGTGGGACTCCACTGGTGACTTCACGCCAATCCGAGGTCTCGCCCCTCACCGTAACTCTCTGCTTCCTATTGCTTAGATACTCCCTTGTCCACTGGAGCACCTTACCAGCTACACCTGCCTGTCTCTCTAGCTTATGTATCAGCCTCTTATGCGGTACTGTGTCAAAGGCTTTCCGACAATCCAAGAAAATGCAGTCCGCCCAGCCCTCTCTTTCTTGCTGTGTGTGTGTGTACTCGCCTATTTGTACTCGCCTATTTGTTCTTGCGGGGGTTGAGCTCTGCTCTTTCGGCCCGCCTCTCAACTGTCAATCAATCAATTGTAACTACTAACTAATGTTTTTTTCCACACACACACACACACACACCCAGGAAGCAGCTCCGTAACAGCTGTCTAACTCCCAGGTACCTATTTACTGCTAGGTAACAGGAGCATCAAGGTGAAAGAAACTTTGCCCATGTGTTTCTTCCTGGTCCGGGAATCGAACCTGGGCCACAGAATTACGAGTACTGCGCGCTGTCCGCTCAGCTACCAGACCCCCTGTGTGTGTGTGTCTCATCGTTATGATATACTGGCGTGATGTTGCATAGTTGTCATCTGTGGCACTAGCTAGGGTGCCACGTCGTAGTTGCCAGGCACTAGCTAGGGTGCCACGCCGTAGTTGCCAGGCACTAGCTAGGGTGCCACGTCGTAGTTGCCAGGCACTAGCTAGGGTGCCACGTCGTAGTTGCCAGGCACTAGCTAGGGTGCCACGCCGTAGTTGCCAGGCACTAGCTAGGGTGCCACGTCGTAGTTGCCAGGCACTAGCTAGGGTGCCACGTCGTAGTTGCCAGGCACTAGCTAGGGTGCCACGCCGTAGTTGCCAGGCACTAGCTAGGGTGCCACGTCGTAGTTGCCAGGCACTAGCTAGGGTGCCACGTCGTAGTTGCCAGGCACTAGCTAGGGTACCACGCCATAGTTGTCAGGCACTAGCTAGGGTGCCACGTCGTAGTTGCCTGGCACTAGCTAGGGTGCCACGTCGTAGTTGCCACACACTAGCTAGGGTGCCACGCCATAGTTGCCAGGCACTAGCTAGGGTGCCACGTCGTAGTTGCCAGGCACTAGCTAGGGTGCCACGCCATAGTTGCCAGGCACTAGCTAGGGTGCCACGCCATAGTTGCCAGGCACTAGCTAGGGTGCCACGCCATAGTTGCCAGTCACTAGCTAGGGTGCCACGCCATAGTTGCCAGTCACTAGCTAGGGTGCCACGTCGTAGTTAAGAAACACCCTCCAGATGTCACTAAAGATTAACATACACTCTTACACAAATTTTCTCAAACACGCGAATCACACATATTGAAAACGCGCAGAGAACTCGCAATCTCCTCGAAACACAAACACTCAAAACTATTCTCTCAAACACTTCCACTCTTGCTCAGTCTTACACAATTTCACGCAAAACACAAAAACTCAATTTATTCACACTTTTTCAAGCATTTGTATAAAGCATCCTCACTCGTACTCACGACAACATAAAGTTACTATGCAGCTTCTTGTGCACGTGTTGAGCTTCTTGTGCACGTGTTGAGCTTCTTGTGCACGTGTTGAGCTTCTTGTGCACGTGTTGAGCTTCTTGTGCACGTGTTGAGCTTCTTGTGCACGTGTTGAGCTTCTTGTGCACGTGTTGAGCTTCTTGTGCACGTGTTGAGCTTCGTGTGCACGTGTTGAGCTTCGTGTGCACGTGTTGAGCTTCTTGTGCACGTGTTGAGCTTCTTGTGCACGTGTTGAGCTTCTTGTGCACGTGTTGAGCTTCTTGTGCACGTGTTGAGCTTCTTGTGCACGTGTTGAGCTTCTTGTGCACGTGTTGAGCTTCGTGTGCACGTGTTGAGCTTCGTGTGCACGTGTTGAGCTTCGTGTGCACGTGTTGAGCTTCGTGTGCACGTGTTGAGCTTCGTGTGCACGTGTTGAGCTTCGTGTGCACGTGTTGAGCTTCGTGTGCACGTGTTGAGCTTCGTGTGCACGTGTTGAGCTTCGTGTGCACGTGTTGAGCTTCGTGTGCACGTGTTGAGCTTCGTGTGCACGTGTTGAGCTTCGTGTGCACGTGTTGAGCTTCGTGTGCACGTGTTGAGCTTCGTGTGCACGTGTTGAGCTTCGTGTGCACGTGTTGAGCTTCGTGTGCACGTGTTGAGCTTCTTGTGCACGTGTTGAGCTTCTTGTGCACGTGTTGAGCTTCTTGTGCACGTGTTGAGCTTCGTGTGCACGTGTTGAGCTTCGTGTGCACGTGTTGAGCTTCGTGTGCACGTGTTCAACTTCGTGTGCACGTGTTGAGCTTCGTGTGCACGTGTTGAGCTTCTTGTGCACGTGTTGAGCTTCGTGTGCACATGTTCAACTTCGTGTGCACGTGTTCAACTTCGTGTGTACATGTTGAGCTTCGTGTGCACGTGTTCAACTTCGTGTGCACATGTTGAGCTTCGTGTGCACATGTTCAACTTCGTGTGCACATGTTGAGCTTCGTGTGCACATGTTCAACTTCGTGTGCACATGTTGAGCTTCTTGTGCACGTGTTGAGCTTCTTGTGCACGTGTTGAGCTTCGTGTGCACGTGTTCAACTTCGTGTGCACGTGTTGAGCTTCGTGTGCACGTGTTGAGCTTCTTGTGCACGTGTTGAGCTTCGTGTGCACATGTTCAACTTCGTGTGCACATGTTCAACTTCGTGTGCACATGTTGAGCTTCTTGTGCACGTGTTCAACTTCGTGTGCACGTGTTGAGCTTCGTGTGCACGTGTTGAGCTTCTTGTGCACGTGTTGAGCTTCGTGTGCACATGTTCAACTTCGTGTGCACGTGTTCAACTTCGTGTGTACATGTTGAGCTTCGTGTGCACGTGTTCAACTTCGTGTGCACATGTTGAGCTTCGTGTGCACATGTTCAACTTCGTGTGCACATGTTGAGCTTCTTGTGCACGTGTTGAGCTTCTTGTGCACGTGTTGAGCTTCGTGTGCACGTGTTCAACTTCGTGTGCACGTGTTGAGCTTCGTGTGCACGTGTTGAGCTTCTTGTGCACGTGTTGAGCTTCGTGTGCACATGTTCAACTTCGTGTGCACATGTTCAACTTCGTGTGCACATGTTGAGCTTCTTGTGCACGTGTTCAACTTCGTGTGCACATGTTGAGCTTCGTGTGCACATGTTCAACTTCGTGTGCACATGTTGAGCTTCGTGTGCACATGTTCAACTTCGTGTGCACATGTTGAGCTTCGTGTGCACATGTTGAGCTTCGTGTGCACATGTTCAACTTCGTGTGCACATGTTGAGCTTCGTGGGCACATGTTCAACTTCGTGTGCACATGTTGAGCTTCGTGTGCACATGTTCAACTTCGTGTGCACATGTTCAACTTCGTGGGCACACGTTCAACTTCGTGGGCACATGTTCAACTTCGTGGGCACACGTTCAACTTCGTGGGCACATGTTCAACTTCGTGTGCACACGTTCAACTTCGTGTGCACATGTTCAACTTCGTGGGCACATGTTCAACTTCGTGTGCACACGTTCAACTTCGTGTGCACATGTTCAACTTCGTGGGCACACGTTCAACTTCGTGGGCACACGTTCAACTTCGTGGGCACATGTTTAACTTCGTGGGCACATGTTTAACTTCGTGTGCACATGTTCAACTTCGTGGGCACATGTTCATCTTCGTGTGCACATGTTCAACTTCGTGTGCACATGTTCAACTTCGTGTGCACATGTTCAACTTCGTGTGCACATGTTCAACTTCGTGTGCACATGTTCAACTTCGTGTGCACATGTTCAACTTCGTGTGCACATGTTCAACTTCGTGTGCACATGTTCAACTTCGTGTGCACATGTTCAACTTCGTGTGCACATGTTCAACTTCGTGTGCACATGTTCAACTTCGTGTGCACATGTTCAACTTCGTGTGCACATGTTCAACTTCGTGTGCACATGTTCAACTTCGTGTGCACATGTTCAACTTCGTGTGCACATGTTCAACTTCGTGTGCACATGTTCAACTTCGTGTGCACATGTTCAACTTCGTGTGCACATGTTCAACTTCGTGTGCACATGTTCAACTTCGTGTGCACATGTTCAACTTCGTGTGCACATGTTCAACTTCGTGTGCACATGTTCAACTTCGTGTGCACATGTTCAACTTCGTGTGCACATGTTCAACTTCGTGTGCACATGTTCAACTTCGTGTGCACATGTTCAACTTCGTGTGCACATGTTCAACTTCGTGTGCACATGTTCAACTTCGTGTGCACATGTTCAACTTCGTGTGCACATGTTCAACTTCGTGTGCACATGTTCAACTTCGTGTGCACATGTTCAACTTCGTGTGCACATGTTGAGCTTCGTGTGCACATGTTGAGCTTCGTGTGCACATGTTCAACTTCGTGTGCACATGTTGAGCTTCGTGTGCACATGTTCTCTCATCCTAAATATGAGTTTAGAAACAGGTTTCAATGTTAAAATTTTGATCTCTCTAATGTACATGATCCAAGTGTTTCGTTTCGTATTCATCATAGAGTTTTATTAATAATCTTTACTAATCAAGACATCATTTCTACATTTAATATATTGTACATTCAATCTATTCTCGTATTTTCAACTGGCCCAACTGTCCTGATTTCCAGTATCTTCCCGTATTATGAAGGGATCATTCCCACGTAATTGACTTATTGTTGCCGCCGGAGGTGGCTAGTTTATTGTGCACCCCATACTCATCCTGTGAGCGGTAGCGCAAAAGCATTACAGAGGGCACAAAAGGTCTTTATCAGACCTCATCTTAGATTATTACATAAACAATTTCATCTGTTCTTCACACCTTATAGTTACAATGTCAGCTAGTTACAGAGAAAGCTCTATTACAAGAGCTACATATTTACAGTAAGTCATCATACATTATTAGTAGGTCTTATCGCTAATACATAATAGTTTGACCAATGGGGATATTACAGAGTCATAGAGGAGCTGCTGTTTATTATTAGTCTTCACAATACACTACTTATTTCTACATACAAAGTGCATTGTATACAGTGCAAGGATTTCAGGTAATTTATCCATGGTAATAAGATAGGTTGCCATATCATACAGAGTGAGCTTAGATCTATCTCTAAAAGGCTCAATTTTACTACAATCCAAGATATAGTGTTAGAGTGTGTGTCCCTGTCTTTGTCCACACACTTTACACTTTACTTCATCTAGATCCATATACAAGCCGAGATACTTGTAGCCAAGTCTTATACGAGCTGTGACAACATCTGTTAGTCTACTGACTTTGTTTCTTGCTCCATACACATGTTTTTCTTCACACATTTCATAGTGCTCTGCAGTCCTTAAATAACCCATCACAATGTATGTCTGAAGTAGCTTGTAATATTAAATGGAATGTAATTTTTGCCAATGATAATAACTCTTGTATAAAATTTGTGTGGATCCCATCCCATGTTGGAGTTGGAAAACATGACTTTGTAGATCAATTGGCCAATGAGGCTTGCAGGAAAGAAAACATTGATTATGACTTTGGACTATCTAATGCAGTTATTAGAAACATACAAATTAAAGAAATTAATTCAGATTTAGAAGAACTAAGAAATGCCCAGAGACCTGAAAGCTGCAGTATTAAAAGTTATGACAAGTTTTGTAATATTAGGCATTTGTATGGTCAGCACAGTAACCGGACCAGGCAATGTGATGTAGTCATTGTGGTAATTCGCCTTGGCTATAGACACATCTGGCAGGTTAGTGAGGCTGAGCCACTACCAGAATATTCAGATTGTAAACTCTGTGATAAACCTTTAATGCATTCACTAGAACACTATATTGATGAATGTGAAACCGTAAAGGACTTTAGACCTCCTGGCCTCTTGTACCACCAACTGTGTAACTATTTCATTGACTCAGGTGTTCTGGACGACATCCTAACAATTTACCCAAAATTTGCTTGTCAATTTTAAAGAATGAAGAACAATTTTCATTTATATTACTTCTAAGCTGCATCACTTATGAACCCATCCCTGCCCTTGTGTGGCAGTGCACAATAGAAAGTTGTTTTCACATATCCATACATTAAAACATTGATTGTAACCATGATATATATGTGCTTCAGCCTACAGTTTAGACCTATTGTCTTGTGTATGACCCTCTGTCCTGCGTGACAGTCAATACTAGCATTATCCTCACTTTAATAAGACTATCAAAATCCTCAGATTAGGCAAAATTGTAATTAATTTTGTCAATAAAGATGTTAATAATAATAATAACACATTTCATTGTGATGAACAATGGACCTGCTAGTTCCAGTTTGCACAGTTCTACTTCAAATCCATCCAGGAGTTCTCGTCTAATGACACTTTTAAGGGACCTATTTGATAACTCAAGATTCCGTTCTATACTGTCTTTATTTACTGCAGCCTTAGCAAGGGCGTCAACTTTGTTATGTTCCTGCAGGCCAATGTGAGAACTACGTAAGGTTTCTAACATCCGGGTCTCGTAGGCTAAAGCTTTTCCCGCATTTCCTTCCAAACTTCACTGGTATTTTTCACTTACTTCAGTAGGTATATTTCCAATATCAGATCATACTAACATTAAGAGACCTTTCCCTACCCTAAGCGATTAATCTCAAATCACACAGGGTTTTTCTGTGGAATTCAATGGTAAAGGGCAGTTAGGCTTTTCCGGCAATATCTTCTCACTTCGAATATTTCGTGTTTACTATATTATGTTTTATTTGTCTATAGCTTATAAGTCGACCATTTATGTATCCTCAACTTGACTTGTTCTCTGAAAAGCTTTATTTATTTGCAGGTTCCGTCCTTATATCAGTTGTGTTTTACAATATTTTTTTTCCACATTAATAATTGAAAGTGTTGTTGAGTGAACCAATGTTCCCTAAACTAACTTCACATCAGAGCCACACATTACCAACTTCAACATTTTTCTTCAGGAACAATGAAGAATCAATGATCTATATACACTTCAAACACACTCGGCATTTGACATGTTTACCTGTGCAAATGTAATGCTTCACAAATGACAAGTCGAGCATTTTAATAAAAATAACCTATATTTACTCAAAGTCAATCCCTGGTAAAGTCCCTTACACACGCACACACACAATTTGTACTAAAATACCTCTCAGAACCTCACAGTTTTGAGTGAAGCTCACTCCCGTAGCTTATAATTCATTCCGAAGACCATACAGTATTGACATGTCATATTGTCACTATATATGTTTTGCTAGGAAACATCTTAGTCTAGTCATCCGGTCATCTTAATTCAACACCCCTTCACCTAACCTTGCTTAAATTTCCTCAAGAATGTAAAGGGAAGCCTGTTTACATTATTCAGTCTCCCCAGGAAATGTCAGCACCATAGACAATTAATAGGCTACGTCTGCCCAGCGGAGGCGGCCACCGTCCTGCCCTCACCCCTCCCGTAGCCTCTGCTACATATTATATTTGCCTACTTACCTGGTTGATGGGGTTCTGAGAGTTGTTCTACTCCCCAAGCCCGGCCCGAGGCCAGGCTTGACTTGTGAGAGTTTGGTCCACCAGACTGTTGCTTGGAGCGGCCCGCAGGCCCACATACCCACGACAGCCCGGTTGGTCCTACTCTCTCTTATTACGACACATCTTAGTGAATAATCAACCTATGTTGTATATATAATACTAAGTATCCTACATTTAAGACAGTTTAGAACCTGTGTGTCATTTTGATGAAGATATGTTCCCTCACTGCCCATTACCCCTCAACTCTCTCTATAACACAGTAAGATGTACATCCCAAGTCTCCGTCATTAAGGAGTATATGATGTAAGATCAACATCATCCCACACTCCCTTAGTCATCATTCTTGCTTAATATTTCCTCGACTGGTCTCGCGACGATTGTTAAGGAAATACGGCGCTTCCCACTGATGTGAGTGAACACGGTGTGACACTGGAGTATTGTGAGAGTGAACACGGTGTGACACTAGAGTATTGGGAGAGTGAACACGGTGTGACACTGGAGTATTGTGAGAGTGAACACGGTGTGACACTGGAGTATTGAGAGTGAACACAGTGTGACACTGGAGTAATGTGAGAGTGAACAGTGTGACACTGGAGTGAGTGAACACAGTGTGACACTGGAGTAATGTGAGAGTGAACAGTGTGACACTGGAGTAATGTGAGAGTGAACACAGTGTGACACTGGAGTAATGTGAGAGTGAACACAGTGTGACACTGGAGTAATGTGAGAGTGAACACAGTGTGACACTGGAGTAATGTGAGAGTGACACAGTGTGACACTGGAGTAATGTGAG